TTTTGCACTCATGGTCGTTGTCAAGCGGGCCTAAACGTCAGGAAGGAGTCTGACTACTGCGGGTCAAGGAACTCCCAAGACTGGTCACGAGACGAAGAACTCGGACGTTGCTCACTCGGCTGGGCTTCTTGCTGCGTGGAGGACGAGCTCGCAGCTGCCGAAAGGGAAACATTCAGCCGATCACGCCTGGCCTGCAACCGCTCACGGATCTCTAATTCTCTATCTGCCAAGACGTCCTCGATGCGTTCAGCCAGCATGATGATCTGGTCCATACTCAATGTACGAACCCAAATCTCGAAGGCTCTCATCTGCAGGGCAGTGATCCTAGGAGGCGCGTCCATTGCAACACAGTCAACACTAAGCTTGGGCCACCGCGCTGCAAGCCCGGGATGAGAAAGTCAGTCATATGACGGGCTGTCCTTCCGCAACAGCATCACTCCTTCACTGCTGGGTGGGTGGGCGGGGCTTTTTAATCTGCTCATCTGACTCTCAGTGCCCTCTCGGGCTGAGCCAAAATTTCTCACGCATTCCATGGTGAAAAATTTTTTCTCAAAATAAAGGTTTGTACTCAAGAGTACCAAGCCCTTATTTTGTTCTCAAATTCATCCCAGGAATATATCTTCATCTTCTCGAATAGTCATTACCCTTGAGTCACTCCATTCGAGCCCTTTTTCCGAGGAAGGGTACAGAATCGATCACCTGTCCAATATGCAGGTCTTCTGTCTCACTGGGTGCGAAAACACGAAAAACCCCTCCTAGGTAAGGGGAGAAAAGAAGACAGAAGTCCCTTCCTCGGTCAAGTAGTCTGGGCAACAAAGCGACGTGCCTGCCGTAACACCTCACGCAATGCTTCCACAACAACATCGTCGTTGATCCTGCAGGGGTTGGGAAGACCCAAGAAGCAGCAGCGACTTGGCGCGTCATTTTTTCATTCCAACGCGTTCACTGAGTCAGTGATTCTGCGGGCGCAACACACACAGTTGGTGTGGCCAGTACGGCGCGCCGGACACCTACCGCCATCCATGGCGGCGCGGACTATTGCCGCGAAAAGAAAAGTATGTACCAGTTGCGATCTATATGCTGTACATCCCTAGCTGTGGCGTTGGATGGCGTCCTACCATCATCTACCAACTGTAGGGCCGAAGTCGCGGCTCCTTTGTCAAAGGCCTCAGCAATCGTCTCCACCTCAGAAAAGCTGCTCTGCGGTTTGAGACAGAAGCATCGATAGTGCCCAGTGTTTGGGGTGTCCCCTGTGTGAACAACGTCAGAGATGAGTCGGCATTCACTCGTGACGAGTTGTTGGGTATGACCATCTATGAAGATGGGAACACTGATGACTGGATTGACGGTGACCGGGCTGCGGACTTTCTTGATACGACCACCCTTTTCCTGAAAACGTAGAAGCTGAATACTGAGTATCTCAGGAGCTTCAGCCAGTGCAGTCACATATTCCTCGTTGCGAGGTCCCGGCTGTGCACTCCAGGAGTTCAGTGCCAGCTGTGTCGTGGCCTGACCTGTGCATGGCAGAGGGATTAGCGGCACTGCCGTGTTCCAAGCCCTGGCTATGGCCGGCTCATGTTCACTAACTCCAGAAACCCTTGACTCCCATCTGCCCAAAAAGATCCTAGGGACCCCGTCCTTTGTGAGACGTTGCTGAAGTTCTGCAGCATCATGCTGTTGGTGGAGACCTTGCCATCCCTGTAGGAGTTGCATGCAATCCTTCCTTCGGCTTAGTTGTTGGGGCTTGGCACATTTTGTCAGCGCATTGAGCATTGGGCGTAGACATCCGAAGCCCACCTTGTCTTTCGGCTTTACCTGGCCAAACAAGTGCAGCAGTGCTTGGATCATGGAGTTGAGGTAGCAAAGGTTGGATGGGTTTTCCAGCACACAATGATGGAGTTGCATAGGGCATGGTGCATCAGTGACTTTTTCCCCCTGGCACTCTGATTTCCCCTGGCTATGGGATTTAGCGGCCGCCTCCTGTGCTGGCTGACCTGTCCCCTTCAGCCATTCCCCAATGCTCCGTGATCTCCCTGAACCAGGACCTCTGTCGCTATGCTTGGTGGGGATGTTGGGGCCGTGATGCGGCTTCCCGGGGCAAGTGTTTTTTGCTAGATCACGGTGCAACACACGAGGATGGGCCCCCCCCCTTTGGGCAAAGGGGGGCTTAAGCCCCCCTTTAAGCCCCCCTTTAAGCCCCCCTTAAGCCCCCCTTCAAAGGGGTCCCCGCAAAGGGGTCCCTTTGGGGGGGGGGGGGGGGGGGGGCAAAGGGAAGCCCTTCTTAAGCCCCCCTTAAGCCCCCCCTTAAGCCCCCCCTTAAGCCCCCCCTTAAGCCCCCCCTTCAGCCCCCCCTTTAAGCCCCCCTTGCCCCCCCCTTAAGCCCCCCCCTTAAAGCCCCCTTGAAGCCCCCCCTTTAAGCCCCCCTTTAAGCCCCCCTTTAAGCCCCTTCAAGCCCCCCTTTAAGCCCCCCTTTAAAGCCCCCCTTTAAGCCCCCCTTTAAGCCCCCCTTTAAACCCCCCTTTAAGCCCCCCTTTAAGCCCCCCTTTAAAATGCCCCCTTAGAGCCCCCCTTTAAGCCCCCCTTTAAAATGCCCCCTTAGAGCCCCCCTTTAAGGCCCCCCCGTTTTAAGGGGCTTCAAGCCCCTCCTTTAAGCCCCTCTTTTTAAGCCCCCTTAAAACCCCCCCTAAAGCTCCCCCCTGAAGCCGCAACCAAGCCCCCCCCCTTTGTGGAGGGTTTAGGCAGCAGTTTAAGAGGCCTAATACTTGCTGGGCCTTTGGGCAGCAATTTAAGAGGCGTAATACTTGCTGGGCCTTCTGCGGAGGGTTTAGGCAGCAGTTTTAGAGGCCTAATACTTGCTGGGCCTTTTTTGGAGGGTTTGGGCAGCAGTTTAAAAGGCGCAACACTTGCTGGGCCTTCTGCGGAGGGTTTAGGCAGCAGTTTAAGAGGCCTGACACTTGCTGGGCCCTTTGTGGAAGGTTTGGGCAGCAGTTTAAAAGGCGTAATACTTGCTGGGCCTTCTGTGGAGGATTTAGGCAGCAGTTTAAGAGGCCGAATACTCGCTGGGCCTTTTGTGGAGGGTTCGGGCAGCAGTTTAAGACGTCTAAGAGGCGTAATACCTGCTGGGCCTTCGGTGGAGGATTTAGGCAGCAGGTTAAGAGGCCTAATGCGAGCATCGTGTTTGCAAATGGGGGGGGCTGCGCCCCCCCCAACCCCCCCGCTTGTTTAAGCCGGGCAAACTCGCGTGGAAGCATATGAATCATGTCCAAAACAAAACAAAACATGGGGTTCTCGGCTTAGCCCCGCGCCACGTCACTGCTATGCAAATGGGGGGGGCTGCGCCCCCCCCAACCCCCCCGCTTTTTTCTGCCGGGCAAGCTCGCGTGGAAGCATATGAATCATCTCTGAAAAAAAACATGGGGTTCTCGGCTTAGCCCCGCGCCACGTCACTGCTATGAACTCTCTGCTCCTTGAAACTCGAGTAATGAACACAAAAAACAAAAGAAGAAGCGAGCGGGGTGGAATTGCCCTTAAGCTCCCCTTTAAAAAGAGTCTCACTTCTCTGGTTTCGAAGAATGAAACCCAAAAAACAAAACAAGATTCGAGGGGGGTGGAATTTAGAATACATTCCCTTCTTTCTTTTCGTAAAGGGAAATGAATGTTTAGAGTCTCACTTCTCTGGTTTCGAAGAATGAAATCCAAAAACAAACACAAAATGTAAAACAAGATTCGAGGGGCGTGGAATTTAGAATACATTCCCTTCTTTCGCTTCGTAAAGGGAAATGTATGTTTAGAGTCTCACTTCTCTGGTTTCGAATAATGAAATCCCAAAAAAAATACAAAAATATAACAAGATTCGAGGGGGGTGGAATTTAGAATAAATTCCTCTCTCTCTCTCTCTCTCTCTCTCTCTCTCTCTCTCTCTCTCTCTCTCTCTCTCTCTCTCTCTCTCTCTCTCTCTCTCTCTCTCTCTCTCTTTTTTCAAATGGAAGTTAGAGTCTCACTTCTCTAGTTTCGAAGAACGAAATCTAAAAAACAAAACAAGATTCGAGGGGGGTGGAATTTAGAATAAATCCCTTCTCTCTCATCTTCAAGATAAAGTAATGTTTAGAGTCGCCCTCAAGCCCCCCTTTTTTCGGCCCCTTTAAGCCCTCCCCCTGAAGCCTCTCTAGCCCCCCCCCTTTAAGCCCCCTTCAAAGCCCCCTTGAAGCCCCCCTTCAAGCCCCCCTTAAAGCCCCCTTTAAGTCCCCCTTGAAGCCCCCTTTAAGCCCCCCTTTAAGCCCCCCTTCAAGCCCCCTTTAAGCCCCCCTTTAAGCCCCCCTTTAAGCCCCCTTTAAGCTCCCCTTTAAGCCCCCCCTTAAGCCCCCCCTTAAGCCCCCCTTAAGAAGCCCCCCCTTAAGCCCCCCCTTAACCCCCCCCCTTGAAGCCCCCTTCAAGCCCCCTTTGAAGCCCCCTTCAAAGGGTCTTCTCCAAAGCCCCCCCTTTGCCCCCCCCTTAAGCCCCCCCTTAAGCCCCCCTTTAAGCCCCCCCTTAAGCCCCCCTTTGAGCAAAGGTGATGGGCCCATCAAGCAACACACCCTCGGGCAGACGCTCCAAACCCAACGTGCCCTCACTAGTCAAAATACTCTGGCGAGAAGGCTTCATTGCCTTCTCGTTGCATCGATGGCCCGCTGTAGGTCTTCAAGAGTGGCTTGTGGCTTCTCCGGGCGGATCCTGGCACCTGTAAGCGTGGCCGCAGTCTCCGTGAGGGCTTGTAGTGCCTTGTTGATGTTGAGCCGGGCTTCGGCATCCAGGGAGACTGTCAGCACGAACGTCGTGGCTCCTGGTCCTAGAGCATGGAAGCGCTGAATGACGTTGGGCTTGACGACCTCTCTCATCAGCAAATGGACTGCCTCCTTTGCGTCCTGGTAAGCGAGCGCATTGCCCTCTCTGGGCTCCTGGAGCTTCTTTTCGGATTCCATCGTGTACGACCACGCCATTGGCTCTGCGACAAGCATCTTCTTCTAAATGCAGCTCCAGCAGGAGTGCTCGCGGGAGAGCCTGGCGTAGGCTGCAGGTGCACTTGTTCTGCTCTCGGCTCTCTTCCAGGTGGCCGTGGTCTTGACTAGCTGGGGTATGATGCCCAGCGCTCCAGAGTCCATCCAGAGAACCCAACTTCTGTCTGCCTCCAGCAGCTGCAGCGCCATGGCGTGCTGGCTGACGTATTTGGTCAGAACTTGCACTTGCCTTGGTTGGGCCGGGATCGGCTCCCGTTTTGCTTTGCCTGGGCCTTTGCCCTCTCTGGGACGAAATTTCCGCCCCCCGCCGTTCTCCTCCTCGGTCGGCCTGTCCCGCATGATGAGTTCCATCGGACTGTGCTGCTCCCACATGTTCGCCACTTCCTGTAGCGCTTGGTCGTCCATTTGGTCGTCATGGCGCGACAGAAATATTTGCAAGAGTGGCAAACACTTTGAGCGTGAACCTTCGGGGTTTTGTGCAAGGCTAAGGATGGCCCCCTCGACGCAAAGTTTTGTGTTGTCAGGATTTTCCTCCTGTCCCTTTGGGCGAATTTGCAACTGTTTCCCCGATCATAACACCTTTTGAAGTTTTCAATCCAAACCTGCACTCTAGCCAAAGCATCGTACAAATCCCTCCCCGGCTGGTAGGCAAACTGCGGCACCCAGCGCAGCTGGGGCCGAATCAGCTCATAAAGTCTTACTTTGAGAAGCCCCGCAAGGGTTTTAGCATCAGGAGACATGAGGCCGATTGGTCTGAGGGATGAGGGCTCGCATGGGTCCTTGCCCGGTTTTGGGAGCCAGACTATCCACGCGTCGGTCCACTGGAGAGGGAGTGTGATCCCCGGTGGGTGAGAGTGCTGGTCAAAGGCCATCTTCAGCAGCTTCGCAACCTGTGGCGCCGCTAATCGCCATGCAGATGCTGGGGCTACACCAGGAGGAACGGCTTTCCCGATCTTGATGGACTTCAGCTGCGATTCAATTTCCTCAACCGTGAAAACCAAGTTAAGACTTTGCCCCTCCCTAGCTGGCTGCGCAGTGTCCGGAGCGAAAAGATCTTCACTATAGCTCACCAGGGCTTCATGCTCCTGTTGAAGAGTGAGGAGTCGGCCGTTTGGGTCCTTAATCATGACCCGTTGCCGTGGCTGCCATGGTGCTAATCTCCGAACAACCTAATAAACTGTTCTTTGGTCCCCTTTGTCAGCTGCCTGCTCGGCCTTTTGAAGGAGGTTGAGGATGTCTTCACGCTTCTTTTCCTTGCATTGTTTTTCAGCAATTTTGACCTGCTTCCTCAGTGCAACTGTAGCTTTCCAACCCCTAAAGAGTCTGGATTGGTAGTACCACTAGGGGTTGTTTTCTAGGTTTTCCCCCCTCCGGCTCCCCAGGGGGCCGTACGGTGACATACTCGGCCTCGTGCCGCTTCTGCCATAGGTGTTGCACTATGGGGTTGGACGGAGGGTTACCCACTTCTTAGGTGTCTTCGGCTCCTCCGCGGGGCCGTCAATATGTTGCTGGCCGTCATCATAGGCCTTCTCATCTGTCCCGTTTCGAGGCAGGAGGTACCACGGTCTCATCCTCCGTCTCGCTCCATTCCAGGAGCTCTGCTGCCCCTCTGGGAAGACGGTGTCAGGGGAGGGGTTTTGGGACCTCAAGGGCCGCTGGCCGTGATGGCCACCATAGCATATGCTCCTACTGACTGCTGATTGGCAGCGAAAGAGCTGCGCTAAAGGCCGATGGTGGCACCTTTTCAGGGCAAGGGATGGCTGCTGTCATGGCACGTAGCTCATGCACTGCAGCTTGTGTGTTCCTGCTTTCATGGAAACATCCAGATGCAAAAGCAAAAGTTTTGGTGTCCGGCGTAAAGGCGCGCCCCCCGCCATCTTCCCACCTGCGGAAGTGCATGCGTTGGTAGCATGTGGAGGTCCTTCCCCCGTGGGGGGCCCGGGGGAAACCTTCACCTCACCCTTCTCGTGGAATGAAGTTGTGTTCATGTCGGTGTAGGAAGGGCCGGCGGACTTAGGACCGCCGCGGTGACTGAGGAATTTCTGATATACGTCGTGAATTCGGAAGGGTGTATGGAGAGGTCTGCGTTTGTACTTTCCTTTAATGCGTCTATGCGTTATCCACTTGTTGCCCTGCTTAGTTTCGGCCCAGTACCGGATCATTAGTGAAAATGCAGTGCACCACCCCAGCAAAATCCCTCTAAGCCAATCCTCCAGAGATCCCCCGGATCCATGCAGATACTGATCGCCTTCCACTGAGGGGCTGGCAGTCTCGGCTCCCCAGCAGGGCCGTGCATGTAGGATGGCTGCCTGCGGCTGGCTGGTATTCTTCGGGGGCACTGATGTGAAGGTAGACTGGGATCGGGCTAAGAGAGTGTGCTTGTGGTGGCATTCACGCATGTGAATCATGTGAAGTGTCGGACAGTGCTTATCCTGCTCAGCATGTCCAATATGCTGATCGCTGCGACGCTGGGTCCTGGTGTTATTCCTAGGTTGCCCTACGTCCTGACCGGCACCCCGATTTTCACCAACCGCGAAGGAATCGATTACCGCCTCGGCACTCCCTGTGGGGGCCGTCGGAGAGGAGAAAAGGGGTGTGCCTCCCATGTCGGTCGGCAAATCCCGGCTCATGATTAGGCGTATGTGGGAGAAGCCCTGGATATCGCACCATTGATAGCGCTGTCTGTCTCTGACATCGACAATCCAGCGGATGTCCCCCAAACTGATGCCATGCGCTTGCAGGAGGGGACTACATGCCAGCTCGATGGCCGAGGCAAAACCGTCCTGTCTGACTTGCACCCCGTAGCGATGCCCTGGCTCTCGTAAGATCTCGGTGAGGACACCGTTAATGTCATCACGTCTAGTAGGGCTGTCCGGTGATGCATCCGTCCTGGAGGTGATCGTCGGGTCGTGGGCTGGTCTGCGGGCCGGAGTACAGCTCCTGTCCAGTGCGCTGCCCGCTGTGTGCTTCTTCACTTTGTCATGGTCCGGAGGCTCTATGACAGGAGTGCTGGAGGATGAGGACGCCACCACAAGCACACTCTCTTAGCCCGATCCCAGTCTACCTTCACATCAGTGCCCCCGAAGAATACCAGCCAGCCGCAGGCAGCCATCCTACATGCACGGCCCTGCTGGGGAGCCGAGACTGCCAGCCCCTCAGTGGAAGGCGATCAGTATCTGCATGGATCCGGGGGATCTCTGGAGGATTGGCTTAGAGGGATTTTGCTGGGGTGGTGCACTGCATTTTCACTAATGATCCGGTACTGGGCCGTCCATTTGGTCGTCATGGCGCGACAGAAATATTTGCAAGAGTGGCAGACACTTTTGAGCGTGAACCTTCGGGGTTTTGTGGCAGGTCATCCGCAATGTTGGCATGGTCTAGCAAGCGGCAAGCTGTGCACCAGTTCTTCAAATCCATCAGCTCGCTTCCAGGCCTCCTGGTGCTGGTTGGCACAGTGCCGCCTCTCAGTGATGCATGCTCTCGCATCTCTGGTGACGGGGCCGTTTCCGGCGCCCCAACCTGATGCCATGATGTGGCTAAGGCTGCTTGAAAAATGACCGCGCAGCTAGCGCCTGTCGGGCTAGTACACCATGGCCTCGCAAAAGTCACAGACACTATCGCGGATGAGGTGAGGTTTGTACCTTGTACACTCAGTGTCCAAGTTGCCAAAACTTGCATGCCAGATGTGGGAGTGCATTCTCTTAATGTGCTCCTTAACCGAGCCTCCCTTTGCAATCCACTGTCCACAGAATCCACAATGCTGAATAAGACTCCTAGCATGGTCTCTGACGATCTGCATCTGAGATTCCGACTGCAGTAGTTGTCTCCACTTCAGGTCAACGCAGCAGCGGGATCTCAGGCTCCTCCTGGGCGAGATGTGACTGTTTCCGAGCGAGCAGGCTCGAAGGAGGGGTGTCTTCCAGTTCGCTTGGCTCCCTCTCTGAGTGACCTTTAGGGGGAGAAGCGACGTCCTGCTGCTTCATGCCTATGCGAGCTCACATACACCTTGTGAACTCTACCCGGCTCTACCCCTGTGCTGTCTCATTGTCTTGTTTGACGGGAAGTACACTCCGCAGACTGGCAGGCCACCGGCTGCGATTGCTGCGCGGGCACCGGGATCAGCCTGGAGTCGGGCTCCGCATCAATGTTATCTGTGTGAAAGATGAGGTATTGCTGTAGCATATTTTCCCAGTACTGAAGAGTTTGTGGCTGGTTGATGATACTTGTTTCCGCAACCCGAAGCTTGTCAAGTTTGTGCCTAATCCGTTGTATCGTTGCATCAATAGGATCCTGAACCCCGAGTCTTTGCCGAAGATGCCTGTTGCTCTCATGCGAGATATGGGCAGGGGAGTCCGCAACGGCTCTTAGTTGACGATAGAACCAACCCCTTAGGAGTGCCACCGCCTTGGCAGAGGGCGCGAAAGCAATGAGGCCAAATGTAGCACTCGATGCAGCACAGGTCTGCCAGATGCGTACTCTGTGTGCTAGGCCGAAGACCTTCCTGGACCTGGTCGCTTTTCTGATTTTGCCAGCTCTCTTGTTAGCTTCTGCAATGCGGTAACCCACAACTTTGTGTGCTTCCGTCTGGAGGGAAAGATGTGTACCTAGGTATGTAGTGTAGCAGGCAATGGGGATTAGCGCTTCGCTACCATCTGGGTGACGTGCCCGCCACCATTTTTTCCCTTCCTTATGCACTACATAGTCCTTTAGCGCACGTCTGGCCCCAGGTCCACAAACTTTCAAGAGCAGGACTGTTTTGGTAAGGTTCACCAAAAGCCCCATGTCCTGCATGACCCCCAGAAGTTTGTTGATGAAACTGCTAAGTTGGGCAATGTCTTCGGAGTTCTCTTTCAGCCATTGCACTAAGGTGTCGTCGGCAAAGGTGGTGGCTTGTCTGTGGGGGCCCGAGAGGGCATCCCCCAGTTGTTCCAGCAAAAGGGTCGATATTGCCACCCAAAGCATGGGGGCGATCTTACATCCTTGGCGGATGCCGCGCGTAGTGCCCACTGAGCTTTGTTCCTGATCACTGATAATGTGATACCGTGATGTGTCCAAGAGGGAGATTATCTCGGCCGTCATGCTTTCTCCCGCACCAAGGTCTTTGAGCGATCTGGCAAGTGCTTGACGGTTGACTCTGTCAAGGCTTGTTTGAGGTCAAGGCTAAGGATGGCCCCCCCGACGCAAAGTTTTGTGTTGTCAGGATTTTCCTCCCTGTCCCTTTGGGCGAATTTGCTACTGTTTCCCCGGCCATAACACCTTTTGAAGTTTTCAATCCAAACCTGCACTCTAGCCAAAGCATCGTACAAATCCCTCCCCGGCTGGTAGGCAAACTGCGGCACCCAGCGCAGCTGGGGCCGAATCAGCTCATAAAGTCTTACTTTGAGAAGCCCCGCAAGGGTTTTAGCATCAGGAGACATGAGGCCGATTGGCCTGAGGGATGAGGGCTCGCATGGGTCCTTGCCCGGTTTTGGGAGCCAGACTATCCACGCGTCGGTCCACTGGAGAGGGAGTGTGATCCCCGGTGGGTGAGAGTGCTGGTCAAAGGCCATCTTCAGCAGCTTCGCAACCTGTGGCGCCGCTAATCGCCATGCAGATGCTGGGGCTACACCAGGAGGAACGGCTTTCCCGATCTTGATGGACTTCAGCTGCGATTCAATTTCCTCAACCGTGAAAACCAAGTTAAGACTTTGCCCCTCCCTAGCTGGCTGCGCAGTGTCCGGAGCGAAAAGATCTTCACTATAGCTCACCAGGGCTTCATGCTCCTGTTGAAGAGTGAGGAGTCGGCCGTTTGGGTCCTTAATCATGACCCGTTGCCGTGGCTGCCATGGTGCTAATCTCCGAACAACCTGATAAACTGTTCTTTGGTCCCCTTTGTCAGCTGCCTGCTCGGCCTTTTGAAGGAGGTTGAGGATGTCTTCACGCTTCTTTTCCTTGCATTGTTTTTCAGCAATTTTGACCTGCTTCCTCAGTGCAACTGTAGCTTTCCAACCCCTAAAGAGTCTGGATTGGTAGTACCACCAGGGGTTGTTTTCTAGGTTTTCCCCCCTCCGGCTCCCCAGGGGGCCGTACGGTGACATACTCGGCCTCGTGCCGCTTCTGCCACAGGTGTTGCACTATGGGGTTGGACGGAGGGTTACCCACTTCTTAGGTGTCTTCGGCTCCTCCGCGGGGCCGTCAATATGTTGCTGGCCGTCATCATAGGCCTTCTCATCTGTCCCGTTTCGAGGCAGGAGGTACCACGGTCTCATCCTCCGTCTCGCTCCATTCCAGGAGCTCTGCTGCCCCTCTGGGAAGACGGTGTCTGTGGAGGGGTTTTGGGACCTCAAGGGCCGCTGGCCGTGATGGCCACCATAGCATATGCTCCTACTGACTGCTGATTGGCAGCGAAAGAGCTGCGCTAAAGGCCGATGGTGGCACCTTTTCAGGGCAAGGGATGGCTGCTGTCATGGCACGTAGCTCATGCACTGCAGCTTGTGTGTTCCTGCTTTCATGGAAACATCCAGATGCAAATAAGCAAAAGTTTTGGTGTCCGGCGTAAAGGCGCGCCCCCCGCCATCTTCCCACCTGCGGAAGTGCATGCGTTGGTAGCATGTGGAGGTCCTTCCCCCGTGGGGGGCCCGGGGGAAACCTTCACCTCACCCTTCTCGTGGAATGAAGTTGTGTTCATGTCGGTGTAGGAAGGGCCGGCGGACTTAGGACCGCCGCGGTGACTGAGGAATTTCTGATATACGTCGTGAATTCGGAAGGGTGTATGGAGAGGTCTGCGTTTGTACTTTCCTTTAATGCGTCTATGCGTTATCCACTTGTTGCCCTGCTTAGTTTCGGCCCAGTACCGGATCATTAGTGAAAATGCAGTGCACCACCCCAGCAAAATCCCTCTAAGCCAATCCTCCAGAGATCCCCCGGATCCATGCAGATACTGATCGCCTTCCACTGAGGGGCTGGCAGTCTCGGCTCCCCAGCAGGGCCGTGCATGTAGGATGGCTGCCTGCGGCTGGCTGGTATTCTTCGGGGGCACTGATGTGAAGGTAGACTGGGATCGGGCTAAGAGAGTGTGCTTGTGGTGGCATTCACGCATGTGAATCATGTGAAGTGTCGGACAGTGCTTATCCTGCTCAGCATGTCCAATATGCTGATCGCTGCGACGCTGGGTCCTGGTGTTATTCCTAGGTTGCCCTACGTCCTGACCGGCACCCCGATTTTCACCAACCGCGAAGGAATCGATTACCGCCTCGGCACTCCCTGTGGGGGCCGTCGGAGAGGAGAAAAGGGGTGTGCCTCCCATGTCGGTCGGCAAATCCCGGCTCATGATTAGGCGTATGTGGGAGAAGCCCTGGATATCGCACCATTGATAGCGCTGTCTGTCTCTGACATCGACAATCCAGCGGATGTCCCCCAAACTGATGCCATGCGCTTGCAGGAGGGGACTACATGCCAGCTCGATGGCCGAGGCAAAACCGTCCTGTCTGACTTGCACCCCGTAGCGATGCCCTGGCTCTCGTAAGATCTCGGTGAGGACACCGTTAATGTCATCACGTCTAGTAGGGCTGTCCGGTGATGCATCCGTCCTGGAGGTGATCGTCGGGTCGTGGGCTGGTCTGCGGGCCGGAGTACGGCTCCTGTCCAGTGCGCTGCCCGCTGTGTGCTTCTTCACTTTGTCATGGTCCGGAGGCTCTATGACAGGAGTGCTGGAGGATGAGGACGTCTGGGCACGCTGGGCCGAACAGCGGCTCCTGCCAGCTGCTTGAGCCATCTCCCTCCTCTGCCCTTCGTCGCCCGGCGTCTCTGTCGTGCGCCTTGACCTTGTGGGAGTGCTGACGGGATCCGCATCTAGGAGTGTCCAAGGCCACCCCTCTGGTGTGTCTGGTTCCCGGGTTCTCTCTGCAGGCATCCTTTGCTTCCTTCACGCGTGCGTGATTGTGCTTTATCGTTAGCTTAAACGAATGCGGGCAACGTTTGCCTAACAAGTTGTTAAGTCGGGAGACGAGGGAAACGTTCGCCCATGCAGTCGCTTGAAGCTCGAAGCGTAGCTTCCTGGTTTTTCTGTGTGGCGTAGTTGCCTTAGCCTTGCGAGCCATGGGGCCTAAGAAGGAGGTTCAAGCCGTTGAGGAGATGAGCGCAGCGTCTGCGCCAGCGTCTGCGTCAGATGTTCAGGCGACCGGGGCGGCGTCCGCCCCGGTCTATACTTCCCCCGGAGCACCTGCTCCGGGTATCACTCGTGATGCTCCCATGCATCGTGGGAGCCAAGAGACCCCTTACCGGTACGCTCGCCGTGGTTCGGCCTTGGCCCCTTACCCTTGGGAGCGCGGCGCTGTGAGTACTGCACCGGCGAACGTTTTGCTGCAGATTCACGAGGCCCGTGCTGCCCTTCGTTTCCTCAAGGAAGTCGAGCAAGACGTTTTTGTCCAAGCCTTGCGCGAGGAGCTCAGCAATAGCAACGTTTGCTATTTTCAGCACTGTTTTGCTACCTTGTGGGACGATTCCCAGAGTGAGTCCTCTGACAGCGACCTGGACGTTCCGGTGTTCGTGTCTCGGGCCGCTGATGACCCCCCTGCGGCACCGGAAGCACAGCCTGCGTCGCCGGCGGCCGTGCCAGTGCACGCGCCCCCCACTGCGCAGGTCGTACCTGATTCGCCGGCGGCCGTGCCGGCGGACGTGCCCCCCACTGCGCAGGTCGTACCTGCCACTGTGATCAGCTCCGAAGACGAGCCTGCTCCAGAGCATCCAAGGCCCCGTGGGCCGGGGGACGTTCCCCCCTCGCTCATGGAGCAGCTTGCCCTCGCCGGCACCGTGTGGGAGTGGCCCTCCAATCCCTACAGCGAGGAGTGGCGTGGTCACCCGGATCTCGTAGATCTCAGATTTCCGCAAAACAGGACGTTGCCTGCCTCCTTGCCGTCTATGGGCACGTGGCCCTATTACCGAAATCAGCACCGGCTTCGGAAGTACCCCAATCTGCATGGCAGTTTGGAGTGCCAGCGGCCGTGCCCGGTGTGCCGCAACGTTTGTGGCCGGGAGGAACAACCCTTCCGTCGCAAGTGTCACAGCCACCACGAGTGTGACCGTTGTCACAGGCGTGGGGACCCCGCCCACCCGCGGCCCAACGCTCGCGGTCGTATCCGCGAGGGGCGATGAGTCGTCGCCTGGGTGGGTGAACGTTTCCCCTCTGCGCCCTGGGGCCGTCGCGTCGGCAGGTCCTCGGGCCGTGCCCGCGGCGTGTCTTCCTGGAGTGGATCCTCCCCGACTCCGCAGTTTACAATTGCTTACTCAGCCACCTTGGGGTGCAGAAAATGTACGTGCTTGAGCGAAGTGCTCAATAAGCCGTGAGTTCGAGCGGAGTGCTCCGTCAGGGCCGTTACCCTGCTCCTGTAGTAAGCAAAGAGTTTGAGCGGAGTGCTCCGTCAGGGCCGTTACCCTGCCTATGTGGCGAAGTGCATCTTTGTGAGAGTCGTAACGCTGGAGCGACGTGCTCCTCTATGCGAAGTAGTCGAGCGAAGTGCTCCCATAGCGACGTGCTAGAGCGAAGTGCTCGTGGGGAAGTCCCAATTCACCTTCCAGAGCGACGTGCTCTAAGTGTTACGTTGAGCGATGTGCTCCCTAGGGCCGTTACCCTACTTTGTCTGGCGATGTGCCTGACCTTTCTGGGACGACGTTGTCCGTGTACGTTTACCGCTCAGTAGCGTCTTCAGCTTGTAGTGTAGCACTGCGCCTCTGTCCCAGCACTCTGCCATGGCAGCGAAGGGTAGCATGTCCTTCGATGAAGCCACGTTGGCTTGCTTCCGTGAAGCCGAAGCTTCTCTCGGAGAAGGCGGCGCGGCTTTCGCCACGGATGTGGTGGAGGTGACCGTTGCCGCTGGGTGGACCCGCGTCGGGGATCCCGGCCGTGCCGGCGTGAATTCGTTTGCGGCGATCCTGCTAGGCTTCGTGCCGCCTTTTCCCAACTTGCCTCCCCCCGCGTCGGGGGCTGCCCAGCCACCTGCTGTGCCGGAGAACGTTTCTCCTCCCCAAGCTGGGGTGTCCGAAAACAAAGACACAGCCCCCCAGCCTCCCGCTGCTGCTGCGCCGGACGTTCCCGCGCAGGCGGCCAAAGAAGAGGCGTCCTCTTCGGACGATGTTTCGGATGATACTGAGCCGGCGGATACCCCGGCCGAGCCCTCCGACGTTCGGAAGGAGGCCGCCGCTGCCGCGGTAAAAGCTAAGGGCCGTGCCCTTTCAAAGCGGCGTGCGCGTAGCAGCAAGCGCAGCCCTTCGTACGAGTACACGTACGAGAGCTACAGCCCTGACGACCAGGCGGACACGAGGGCCGTGCCCCCGTCCCCCGACTCTGGGGAAACCGCCCGCCATGAGCGCGACGATCGCGCACGGCCTGCTCGTAAGCAGCCACGCGTCTTTGTCGACGCCCGACGTCCCGCTCTGTTCAGGGGAGCGACGGCAGAGGTTCCGGCCGTGCCGCCTCCCCCCCCTGCTGGCCCCAGACGTTCTGGTGCGGAGTTGAGACCCCACTCAGCTCGACCTGGAGCACAGGGCCGTGCCCGCACACCCGCGTCGGGGTCTGTCCTTGCCGGACGCCGTGCGTCCGGTGCCGATGGCCCGGTGAGAGCCATGATGTGTGATAGCGGCTGCGGAGTGCCGCTTGAGCCCGACTCCATCCACGCCTTCACCTGCAGCGTCTGCAGGTGGCAGTGGGACGGCGTCGTACGCCGAGGGGGCAGGGTCCAGAAGCGCTGGTACTGCCCCAGCTGCAGAGTCATTTACTGCAGGGACTGCTGCAGGGTCTCCGTGAGACAGGCGCACGCGCGTCGTACGCGCTGAATGCGTTCGCCTTTCCCCGGTCGTACCAGGGTTTGTCGGTTAGGACCGCAGCTAGGTCCGGCGTCGTACGCCCTCGGTGCGTCCCCTGGAGTGTAGGGGGTGGTTTTGGAGTTTCTGCGTTGGTGGTCTAGAATGGCGGCCGTGCCGCTGCAAAATTTCCAGACCAACTGAGTGTGCGCAGTGAAAAAGACAGCTCCTTGGGTCAAGGGGCTGTAGTTGCTGCCGTGTGAGTTTTAGCGTTGTGGGCCCCCGCGTTGGGATGTCATGCCCCCGCCGGTAAGTACCGGTCCGGTTTGTAAATGGCCAGAGTGGCCGCCCCGGGATTGCTGGTAGCATCCCCCTGCCGTCCGGCCGTTACCGGAGCACTGGAGGAAGTCTCCTTGTGCGTGCGTACACATGAGCAGCTGTTAAGTTTCAAGTGCGCTCGATCATCCGCTCCGTATCTGCTCCAGGCCGGGGTGGTCTTGCGAAGTGCATTTTCTTTGGGAGCGAGGGCTGCGTGTTGTGCCCACTGTGTTGGAATGGCTCGCAGCATCCAGATGTTTTCCGATCGAGCCGATAGAGCCTGGGCCAGGCTGCCCAGTCAGTCTGTACAGCTCCCTTGGGAGGTCAGTTTCCAGTCGTGTTTGGAGCTTCCCCTCTCACTCAATTTTGAGCGCCCCACAAGAGTCCGCGTGCCGGAAAGGAGCGTGGTCCCCGTAGAGACCAAGAAGCCGCGCGTCGACGGCTCGTCGGTGCTGTCAGTGGCAGTGAAGGTCTCCGCCAAACCTTGGCACGAAGATGACCGACGTGGAGCAGCGCTGTTCCAGCTCCAGGCCATCGTGGAAGGATGGCCAGATGCCTTTGGTATTGTCGCGCTCTGCCGTGCAGACGCAAATGGCACGCTGGACTTGGACGAGCTGTCGTACAGCATAGCCAGCGCCTGTGCGCACAAGGCCACCGGAACAATAGTCCGCAGACTTTCTTCCCTTAACCATTTCGTGACGTGGGCCGACTCCGTTCAAGCTTCGCCCTTCCCAGTGACGGAGAGAGTCTCCTGGATGTACCTCACCCACTTGGACCGTTCCGAGGCGCCGTGGTCGAAACCCGGCGGGTTCACTCAGTGCGTCAACTGGTGTCGAGGCGTCCTCGGTCTGAAAGTCGAGGACTACATGACCTCGAGCCCTCGCGTCGTGGGCCTTTGCAAAGGCTTCGAGGCCAAGGCCCCTCCGCCCCGCCGGGCGCCTGCTCTGGCTGTGGAAGAAGTCAAGTTCCTCGAGGGTGCCGCGGCCTTCGCTGACAATGCGCCCGACTGCGTCATTGCGGGTGCGCTATTGTTTATGATGTTCAGCTGCGCCAGAGCCAGCGATGCGGCCAGGATGGTAACTCTTGAGGTCGACTTTTCCGACCCAGACGAGTCCACCGTGTGGATAGAGGGCTCCGTCTCCAAAAGCAAGACGGCCATGGGGGCTAGAGCACGCCTGTTGTTACCACTTCTGGCGCCGTGCGTTTACCTGGAGACTCCGTGGATCCCACAGTGGCTGGAGGCGCGTGTCTCCCTCGGCCTTTCGGTCAAAGGAGCTATCGATAAGGGTTCTCTGATCCCGCACTTCGGGGAAGATGGCGTCCCTACCGGAAACGCCATGTCCTCGCAGCAGATCACCAAGTGGCTGCGAGGCATCCTGGCAGAGGTCTCCCCGGACTCTTCCCGTCTCTCCAGCCACAGCCTGAAAGCCACGGGCCTGACGTGGGCCGCGTCGGCCGGTGTCGCCCTGGACACGCGGCGCTTGTTAGCACACCATGTGCATGATAGTGCGCGTAGCACGGAGACCTACAGCCGAGACGTTCTCGCGCCAGCTGCGCGCATTTTCGAGGAAGTCCTCCTCGCCATCCGTGATGGCGACTTCGTTCCTGACAACCCGCGTGGGAGTCAAATCAGGACTAGGCAGCGTGTTTTGGCCTTCAACAAACCAGATCCAGTCGTGCCGGAGGGAGCTCTGCGTCGGAGTTCAAATGTTCCTCCCGACCTGGACAACGAGGTCTCAGCAGCTGCGTCGGCCGAGCAGCCGGCGCCCGCGCCCGAGCACATGACTGATACCACAGATAGCGAGTCGGACCGACTCAGCGAGGAGGACATGCCGACAGACCCCCCTTTGCCCGGGAACCGTGCTCGCCGCGAGGCAGTGGCAGCTCTGCCACCGTGGTGCCAGTCCTTTATGCACGCTGTCAGTGGCTGCCTCCACGTTCAAGGGGTCGAGATGCGGAATCGTCTTCTTTGTGGGCGGACGTTGTCTGACAGGTACGTTACCAGCGACGTTGTTGAACTCGAGGAGGGTCGTCCCCATTGCAAGCAGTGCTGGACCCACTCAAGCTTGCAAGACTAGAGGAAAAAGGAGGCTTTTTGACCTAGTCCCGGGACCCTCCTCTCCCCCTTTGAACTCTTGTACGTGTCCCCTTCCCCTGCCAGGCCATGGTTTCCCTCGTTGACAGCAAGGCCGAGTTTAAAAGCAGAGCCGAGGACTTGCTCGGGAGCGACCCTTTCAAAAATCTGGTAAAGGAGAACGTGGAGTCCTTTGCCGCCCTTGCGTTCTCTGTGGCCGATCAGCCCAACCATATTGACGATAGCAAGCTGGAAGATCTGGCGAAAAAGATATTTCCGGCGCCCGGGCCCACGTTGGGCCACGCGGGAGCTTTGCGACGTCTCGCCTTTGAAGGCTTGGCCTTTAGCCTGCAGGATTTGAAGGATCGGGGCGACCCCGAGGCATCCAGCAAGAAGTACTTGCCCAGCCACGAGAGAGAACACAAGAGGAAAGAGCAAGTTGCTCGCCTCACTGGGGTCCTCCTGGAAGGTGACTTGGAGCCTTCCAACGGTCTCGTAGACCGCGCGGCGGCCATGTTGCACGACGGCCTCGTGCGTTACATTCCGCCGTCCGCATGCGTGAGTCGCGACGCGGAGGTCGCCGCCGTGCGGCGAGACAAGGAGTTCTTTGCCATCGAGAATGGCGAGCTTACCCTGAAGAAGAAGGACAACGTGTTCAATGCGGACGTGGCAACCGACTTCAAGCTGCAGCAGGCTTTCACCAGGAGAGGTGTGGCCCTAGACCGCGTCGGTCTGGTCTCCTTCAACGTGCACGAGCGTCTCGTGCGAAACTACTTTTTCCTGGCGAGCCGGGCCGCCCCGCCTGGCTACGCCAAGCCCGGTGTAGGCGCAATTATCAAGGCCGACAAAGAGCTCTGGACGCTGTTGTCCCGAGAGTGTCGTGACGGGTGCAAGCCCAACGCAGCAGGCGTGGCTCCTTTGGACGCCTTAATTGCAGCCAAGCAGAACGACACGTGCGTCACGTTTAGCCTCTTCCCCCTGCCACAAGCAGATGGCCGGGGCCGCGAGTGGACGAAGGGCAGAGGCGCTGGCAAAGGAGGGAAGGGCCGTGACCCTAAAGGATCTGGCAGGAGTCGCACCCCCAAAGGCCGGGGCAGGGGGAGGGGGAAAGGGAAGCTTTCCGCGCCTACCCTCCCGACCGAGAAGAAGCCCCCGATGCCTAAGGAACTGCGCCCCTTTCAGCCGCATGACGATCACGGCAGACGTTACTGCTATGGATTCAACCTGGAGGAGGGCTGTGACCTCCCGGCGTCCGGGAAGCCCCCTGAGTGTGACCGCGGACTGCACGTTTGCATGTCCTGCGGGTCCAAGGACCACGGGGCAGGGAACTGCCCGGCAAACAAGAAGCGTGAGTGACTATCCCAGCCGGTAGTCGAAATGCGCGAGGCCTCGTCAGGCCCGGGTCAGCCGCTCGCTTCCTCTTTCCTTTCCTCTCCTGAAAAGGGAGGGCCGCGTTGCGATGATGTTACGGGCCGTGCCCGTTGTGAGGACGCTCCACCTCCACTTGTGGGGTCATCGTCCTCGTCTGTGGACCGCCAGCCCGGCAACAAGGATAGGGGCGTCCCTTTGTTTGTGGAAGTCTTCTGCGGCTTGGGACGTTTGAGTAAAGCCGCCAAGGATTTAGGCTTCCACACCGTGAGCATTGACAAAGTTTGCAAGGCTCAAGGTGTGAAGGTCCTGCAATTGGACCTCTCCAGGAAAGAAGGGCGTTCCCTTCTCAAAGATGTCCTGGACCGGCCAGGCCTAGTGTGGGTTCACTGGGCCCCGCCGTGCGGAACGTTCAGTCGAGCCAGGGAAATTCGCCATCCGGGCGGACCAAAGCCGCTGAGGAATAGACATTTCGTAAAGGGGCTGCCCTCCCTGAAGGACTTTCGTGACAGGGTACGCGTTCGGGCCGCAAACAGCCTCGTAGAGCTGATGTCCTCCTGGTGCAGACACTTGTCCGAAAAAGGGGTCTGCTGGAGTGTTGAAAATCCCACTAACAGCCTGATTTGGCTTTTCCCTGGTTTGAGTGGGCTCGTGGCCAGTTCTCACGTTGTCACACTGCATGCGTGCATGTTTGGCAGTACCCGGCGGAAGAGCACCACGTTGGTGTCGAACCGCTCCTGGTTTCGCCGGACAGCCGTGCTGTGCTCTGGGGACCATGCCCATGAGTCATGGGGTCAGGTCACGCACCAAGGAGAGCGTGTTTGGTCGACCTCTCTTGAGAGTGCCTACACGCCGCAGCTGGCCAAAGCGTGGGCGTCCTGCGCCGGGGCGGCTGTCAAGGACGTCCTGGAAAAAGCCCCCGTGGGGCGGAAGCGCGCATTCAAGGCGCTGTGTGAGCCGGACTTTACGGTCAAGGTCACCCTGAAGGGCGACGACGCCGCACGCTTCTTCGGCTTTTTCCCGCCATGCAAGGTTCCGCGCAACTGGGACCACTGGCCTAAAGGGTCCAAACTCCTGGAGATCGACCGCGAGGGTGCGACCGCGTCGGTCGCCATCCCTTGCTCGCCGGAAACCTGGTGCAGACAGGCCTTAGAGCTACCCAGCCCGCGTAGGGCGCGCTGTGTTCTCCCTCCTGAGATGCTCGTGGCTCTCGCGGCCGATGCCGCCGAGGACACTATCAAGATTGCAAAGTCGCGTACGGAGGCGTCCCGTGACCTCCTTCGAGTTTGTAAGGGTTCCGTGAACCGGGAGACGGCCCTCCGTGAAGGTCTCGACCCCGAAGTCAACCACGTCACCTCCAGCAAGATGTCTGTGGCTCTGGAACTGTTGTTGCGCGAAGTGGGTCACGTCGACCCGGAAGTCGCGGAGTCGGTTAGGGTCGGCTTTCCCCTCGTGAATTGGCTCCCCGTTTCGGGTTTGTGGGATGCCGACGTTCGGCCCCCCGAACTTACGGCCTCCGGTCTCCAACGTATGTCCGGAGAAATTTCTCAACGCTGCGTCAAAGGCCTCTGCCGGTACCGTGACCGAGCAACCGAGCGTGCAGTGTGGGCCGTGACCCGTGAAGAACAGGCCAGTGGATGGCTGTCGTTCTGCAGCCGTGAAGACCTTTCCGCTCTGGCGGTGGTCTCCCCCAGGTTTGGAGTCTTCCAGAAAAATAAAGTGAGGCCAATCGATAACTTTAAAGCCAGCCTGGTCAACTCAGCCTGTGGCGTGCAGGAGAAGGTTCAGATGGACGGGATCGACGAGATAGTCGAGGCCTGCCTGTCCTGGCTTCGTTTTCGTCTGCCCGGGAGCCCCCCCGAGCGCATCCTCGGTCGTACCTGGGATCTCAAGAGCGCTTATAAGCAGCTTGCCGTGCGAGCAGACCACAAGCATTTCGCCATCATCTGCGTCATGGACCCTCAGGCTGACGTTGTCCAATACTGCCGCTTGCACAGCCTGCCCTTTGGGGCAGTTGCAGCCGTGCATGCTTTCCTGCGCTGCAGCGAAGCGTTAAAAGCCATAGCAAGGAAAAAGTTTTTCATAGCTATGACCTCCTTTTTCGACGACTTTACGGTTCTGACGTCTGCAGCAAACGCGGCCCACGTTGAGGTCGTTGTCTCCTCAATGTTCAAGAAACTGGGCTGGCGCGTAGCCACGGAGGAGAAGAAGAATCGCCCCTTCTCCGAGGTTTTCGATGTTCTCGGCGTCCGAGTGGACCTGTCCCACCAGTCCGTGGGCGTGGTACAGGTCAGCAACACGCCTCAGCGCGTAGCTGAGCTTAAGGACACAGTAGCGGAGATTAAACAGAAGGGTTCACTTACGTTCGAAGAAGCGCAACGTCTGCGCGGGCGCCTAGTGTTCGCGGAACAACACGTATGGGGGCGTAACGCCAAACAGGCAGTGGTGGCTGTCGGGGACGTTTCCCCGGCATCCGAAGCCTCGCATCCTCTGACTGACGTCCAGCGAGCAGCTCTGGACTTTATCGAGCAGCGCGTCCTGGACGGGCGTCCTCGTTCTTTCTCAATCCAACCGTCCAGAACGTTCCACCTTTGGCTGGACGGGGCATGCGAGTGGGATGAGCCAAACTCGTTTCCCACGTGTGGCTTTGGGGGTGTCCTATGGCTGGATGGCGTGCCTTTATCCTGGGGAGACACCCTGGACCCCGCCGCGGCGAAAGAATGGGCACGCCGCGTCGGCAAAAAGCAGCTAGTTTTCGAGTGCGAATTGTTGCCATACTTCATATCGCTGCAGCTGTGGGGACGTTCCCTCCGAAACAGTGACCTCCTCGTTTTCATCGATAACGATGCCGCTAGAGCGTCCCTAGCCCGCAGCTTCACACGGAAAGAAGAGGGTGCAGCCATAGTGTTTCAGGCCGTGGAAGAGGAGGAACGTCTCAACATTAATGCTTGCTTCTTGAGGGTGCCCACCTCCAGCAACATTGCAGACGGGCCAAGTCGCGGTGTCTTCGACACGATCCTCCGTCTTGGGGGTAGTAGGATCCCCTTGCCGTGCGGGGCAATACGCAGCGCGTTGGGCCTCTCCGGAGCTGTCTAAGGTGGGGTTTCCTTGGCGTTCGAGGCTTTATAAGATGGGGTACGTTACCTCACGCCGGAGAAGTTCTGGCTCCCAGTGCATCAAGCTGCAACGGCAGCCTGAACTGATCCCCACCGTCATCTCCCAAAAGAAAAGGTGCTTGCGTTCCGGCAGTTATGCAATTAGGATAAGCTTCCGATAAGCTTCCTTCACGCGTGCGTGATTGTGCTTTATCGTTAGCTTAAACGAATGCGGGCAACGTTTGCCTAACAAGTTGTTAAGTCGGGAGACGAGGGAAACGTTCGCCCATGCAGTCGCTTGAAGCTCGAAGCGTAGCTTCCTGGTTTTTCTGTCCCACCCACCACCCCCTTTGGTGCTAGTCGTACTAGCCTACGTAAAAGTTCACGTAGTGACGTTTCGCTTCAAAGAAGCGTCTATCCTGGTGTAGTGTTTGATCTCTGGGTGGGGGTACGTTACCTCACGCCGGAGAAGTTCTGGCTCCCAGTGCATCAAGCTGCAACGGCAGCCTGAACTGATCCCCACCGTCATCTCCCAAAAGAAAAGGTGCTTGCGTTCCGGCAGTTATGCAATTAGGATAAGCTTCCGATAAGGGCTGGGGCGTCCTGCTGAGTGGTGCCGGCTAATCGGCTCCCTCGGCTACCTGCACCAGCTTCAGTGGTATCTCTGTGTCCACGTTGTTCTCGACGTCGAGCCAGCTCATTGCGTGTCCTTCGCCTCTCACCATTGGGCCGGACCCGTGCCCTTGGATGTCTGCGCGGGCTGCGCGGGCTGTTGGCCATCTTGAGCCTAATCCTTGCAGTATCCCTGTTTTGGGCCAACTGGGTTGAGGATGATGAGACGAAGATGCTGGCGCGTCAGCTATGTCAGCTATGTTGCTGCGCGACGGTACACGTGCATACCATGGAATACAGGAGAGCTCGGCCTCGTGGACAGCTGAGATCTTGGCCACTGCATCAAGCATGGCATTCTCACTTTGCATCCGAAGCAATGCCACTCTGGCTGCCTCATTATCGAGATAGAATACCACATGCCGCTGTAGCAGTATGGCCGCGCAGAGACGAACAGTCAATGCCACAGTTAGGCTCTCTAACTCATTGATGCACTTATTCCCGTCACGTAAGACATCCTCGGCTACGTCACGGGGAAGCATAAGTCCAAACCACCCCAAGATGGTTCCTTCGTGATCTTGAACCACTGCTCCAAGTCCCATGTCAAGATTGTCTACTCCCTCCTGGGACGCATCAGTGTAAACAAAGATGACATCTCGTAGCGCTGGTCTTAGCCGTCTGGGTTGCGCACCCTTCAAGAACTCCAAGACTCTCTGTAGGGCCGTGGCTACTTCCCCGCGTTCCGTCCCTGCAGCTGAGACGGCCACGGTCACTGCTCGCAACAGTGCTCGTGGCAGTCTGCCGGCGATCTGCCCGCTCATGAAACCCAAACGACCGTGCATTTTCGCCCACAATTTGGGGGTGAGTGAATCCGACTCGATGATTTCCTGGATCCTTTCCACTGCATCTTGAAGTCTTTCTTCTGTGTTGGAAACAAGAACAGTCCGATCCTCATCCTCCAGGCATGAGAATTGCACTCCCAATGCTCTGAAAGTCGTGCGAAGGTCCTGCGCCTTATCACCGTCTCGATCGAAATCGAAACCTAACAAGGAAAACATGATGTCGACGGTTGTCGAGGTAGAGTTACGAAGCTCCTCGCTGCTGAAAAGAGTAAAATCGTCATAATAGGCGGTCATGGGTAGTCGAAATAGGACGTTCCCGATGTGGCACAGGGCAAGGGAAACTCGGATAAACGAGTGCACAGCTGCCGTAGCACCGAAAGGCAAGCATAAAAGCCTGAAAAACACTACTTCTCCTGTTTCCGGGCACTTGACTGCGATAAAGGCCTTGTCAAGCGCCCGCTCTTCCAGAGGTAGTTGGCGGTAGGCCGCCTTGAGATCCAGCGTTTTGCCAAAAACCTTGCCCTTGTGCAGTCGGCGAAACATCAGCAGGGCTGCTGTGATGACATCTGCATCATGCACATGAACTTTCCCGTGCGATTCAAAAGCCATGTTGATAAGGCTCTGGCTCAGGTCGTCGATAGGCCTAAGTTTGTGGCCTTGTTGGATACCAAACCTCTTGCTGATCAGCGCGTCTTCAGGCAGGTCGGCCAAACGGTACGGACCTTGTGACCACCCCTTGTCCCTCTCCTGAATGGACTTATCCCAGAGTTCTTGAACAAATCTGCTATTTTGGGCAACTTCTTGTATGATCTTGTCATTGTTGTCGCAGTGGAGTGCACTCAGATCCGCATCCGTCATGAGTGCTGGGCGAACGTCCGGTTCCCAACCTTCCGGTAGAGGGAGGCTCCCTGTCAAGGGGAAACCTTTGAGGATGTCCTCTCCGATAGCTTTGTCCGGATATGCTGACGCACTCAACATCTCCTGAAAGAGAAGGATGCGTTTGCTCCGGAGTGAGTCCCGGATATGCTGAGGTAGAGCCTGTTTAGCTACTCTTTCTTGGGCCTCCAATGCCTGAGCCCGCTGCGCCCACCTCTTGCACTGCTGTACCCTAATCTGCATCACGCAACTGGGGGACTCCGCACCCACTTGCTCGATGGTACGCTTGAGAGGGTCAGAGAGCCCCAAGTCAAGGTGACTCGGGTGGCCTACCTTGCGCGCCTGTGCACAGAACTCCGGGCATGTCCAGGGAACAGATACGTAGACCTCGTGGTCCTCCGACAGGGGGCTGATCAAAACCTCCTGAGATGCGGGCAGCCACTGCGGTCGTCGGCAGAGAGCTGTCGCTGGGTGCCATCCCTTGCTGGCCAGTAAATTCGTTGTCCTGGATTTGAATTGGGCCTTGAATTCAGGTACAAGCCTTTGGGCTGCTGCTCGTTTGGTCCGGTTGCCTGCGGTCAACGAGGCCATTGAAGGCAGACTACTCTTTGACATGACAGTCTGCTGGGGCGCTGGCAACAACCCTTGTTTGAGCAAGGCTCCTACTGCGCACTGGGCGGCCGCCCTGCAGAATTCGCTTGGATGCATAGTCTCCTCGGGCCCATGGGTGCGTCCCTCCATTGCTCGTGATCATGTGTTTCGTCACATTCACGGGCAAGTGCATCGAACTCTCCAGTGTTCACTGCCAATGCCATGCGCCTTCTGTGTGCAGCGCCGAACATGCACGCATGGCTTTCAAGCACCTTGGTACATCCCATGCTCAAGACGCTGACCATTTCCTGGCCGAACCACATCCAACTGCGGTACGGGTTTTGTATAACACACATGATGCCCAGGCTGCAGCACAATGGCCAGACTGTTGCACTGAAACCAAAAAGCTGATTTGCCGCTCGAACCCTACGCAGTTCTTCCTCCGTCAAAGTCGGCAAACCTTCCGGGTGCCGAGCGTCCCTGAGCGGTGCTGACTTCTGGGGCCCTGGCAGTTCCCTCGCCCTGGAGCTAGTACCAAAGGGCGGTGTCATCCACACCAGAACCAAGCCTGGTGATTCTATCCACCTGAGGATCATGCTCTGGCACTGCGGCTTGAGCATGTCAAGTCGAAGCACCTTCGCCTTGCGGTCATGCCGCAAAGAGGATTCTACGCCAAAGCTCTTGTTAAGGCCAGCTGCCACCATAGCAGCAGTAATCCCAGCAGAGCCCGCGAACAACTCCAAGCACCAAAACTCCTGCATGTGTTTCGTGCCCGACGGTGGGCCCCCACACTGCAAGTGTGTCACATCGCTGGCTGATGGCCGATCAGCAGGTAAGTTGTCTGGTGTTGCCAAACTAGCCACCGCAGCGTGGTTGACATCAACTACAGAGCTCTCTTCGTTGGAAGCTGAAAATTGATTGAAAGGAAAATTGGTTGTTCCTTGCCCTCGTTTCGAGACACCATCAGGTAGGCTCCCGTCGGGTGCCTCTCCAACGATTGAGTTGGCCGAACTGTGACATACTGAATCAAAATTCGCAGCTTTGTCTGAGGCGCTGACAACCAGCGAGGCCTGCGCACCCCACTGCTGTCCCTTGGTCGAGAAGCTGCCATCGCTTCCCGACGCCGAAGCGTCATCATCCGCGACAGCAGGAAGCCCGATCGCCTCTCAGGCCTTCTTGCCTGGGTGGTCAATGAACGCGTGCTTGCCGAAGCGGCAGCACACGTGCCAGCCTTTAGCACACTTTCCACCCAATGGAGCGTCCTGGCATTCGCCGAGGTTGGCACCGAAGCAGATAGGTTCACCCTGAGGCGTCACGGCCACACCACCTCTTAGCTTGAAAGGCATAGGCGTCTGTGACCCTTTGCCTTCTCGCGTCCACTGGTTCCAACGACGACCCTCTTTGAAACCCCACTGATCCTTGCCCCCACCAGGCATCTTTCCACCCTTATCCTTGCCCTTCCGTCCTTTTCCCCAAAACTCAGACCTGGCGAGTTTTTGCGACTGGCCGGCCTTGCCGTCCCATGGGATCTGTAAGGTTGCCTCCGCATTCGCTGGTAGAGGCAGCAGCAAAAAGCTAACTTCAGCTGCCAGGCATCGAGGAGTCGCCAAGTCCGCGTTTGGTGCTGCCCGTTCAAGTTTGACGCTCGTCTGGGCGAGTACCAGCCAAAGGGCTTTATCTGCCCTCAGGACCTGCGCGAGGGAAATTGGGGCGTAACCCGGTATCGCCGGGTCCTGCAGTCGGCTGAATGCTTTCTGCAACCACTTCTCGTGGACCTTATAGCTGAGGACGCCTACTAGGTCGAAGGCCAAGCCACGCCTCTGCATGGCACGGTAGGTTGCCATTTCCGTGCCCAGCTTCGCCTGTGCAGAAGAAGCCTTTTCCGTAATGGTGAGGCTGGCTCCTGAGGTGTCAAGCGCCAGCTCCTTGGTTCCTTTCGTCTGGGACAGTTCCTGCTGACGAGTTGGAATCTTTGATGGATGCAAGTACTTGATGGAATTGTGCTCAACCATCGTTGCTATGACATCGTACACGGAGTGGGCTGGCTCTAGGTCGTTCTTGATCTCGATTCCTGCCAGTCTGTTCGCTTGACACGTCATCCTCTGACGGCGCTCAGCCCAAATGAGACAAAGCCATGGTCTGCGACTCAAAGAGCAGTCGCTTCGCCTGGGTCACCAGCGCCAGAGTCGGGTTGGCTGCCCCGATCTTGGTCAGGAGGGCTTCCACCGATGCGTCTGTCAGCGGCTGCCCCGGTGGGGACGCCGCATAAGCTGCCTGGCTGACCGTCTTGATCCCTTGTGCTACCAGCTTGTTGATCACGTCCTCGGCCATGCCCACTCTGGCCGCATGTTCCTTGAAGAAAGCTTCCGAGTCTGCTGCGCTAGCCATTGCTCGACAGACACTATATCTTACCTCGGGCCCGGGTGTGAGCTCGGAAAGGAGATGCTCAAGCTTCTCAAGACACTGAGGTGCACCTCCCGACGCTCTTTGTTCTACCGATCATGCCTGTACAAAGCATCGTTTACACAAAACTGAGCCTTCAAGAGTATGGACCACTCGAGAAAAGTTCTCTGTCACAACTGGGCCGCACTTGAGAGACACCGCACCTGGCCTGTGCAGGCGCACGACTGTCGATTTGACATTTCGCAGTGCCTCAAAGCCGTCGGGGAGGGCCTGGTCGCACGTCTCCTCCTCCATAGACGTGGAACTCGCAGTGTCTGAGTCAGAGCTGGAGACAGGGGACACAACATCAGTTGCTACGAGGCCGACCCCCGAGCAAACTGTGTCCCGTTCGTCCTCTGCTGCATCTCCAATTCCTGTAGGTTCGGGCTGCTGCTCTGTCTTGTTTGTCACGTCCACCTCTACAACCACCTCCGGGCTGTGGTCACGGATCTCGCCTTCCGTTTTGGGCTCCATTTCTTTCATTTCGGAACTGCTCCGTGTCCCTTCCATCAGAAGCCAACGCTTCCGGAAATTGGTGCCAAACAGGGAGGTCCCTGTTGGGCTTGCTGCATGCTGTTCCTCCCTAGCATCACTTGCTTGCGCTGTGCAACCTGGGCCTTCCCACGTTGCTGGTATCGGACGAGGCACTGCCGGTGGCTCGCTGACCATGCTCCAGGACGGACCAGCCTCGCTAACATTCTCCCTAACAAAGTAGCCACTCCTGGTCGCGTCGGGGAGAAATGAACCTTCACGTATCTGTTGGAGCATCTGTTCCAATTGGCGAATTGGGCCGCTCAGAGCGTCCCGAGAGTAAGCCAGGTCACTCATGGGCCCTGTGCTATGGTGTGCCAACAATGTCTGCGTCTCACCATGGATCCCAAACCTACTGAGCCAACCCAGCACCGTATGCTTGAGACAGTGCGACGTAGTGCGCTGTCGGGTGGGATCACTCCTCAGCAGTAGTCCATGCAGCCAGACGCCTCATGTGTCGTTTGAGGAAGGTTCCCTCTGGCCCTGGGGCCGGGAGCAGTGCCCCAAGCGGTCGCTTCGCCAGGTCGATGCCCGCTAACTGGGCAGCGTGGCGCCATGCAAGCGCCCAATAGAAGTCGGGGCTAACTCCCTGGATAGGTGCCACCAATGGCATGAACATCGCCTTCTTTTTCTTAGCTTGGCTGCTCTGCTTGACATGGCGTGCCCTTGCTTCTACGTAGCCAACAGGACGTCCAGCTACTTCCGTGACATCGAAGGAAAGGCTGTCAATGCACGCTACGTCGCTCCAGCGGTTCCGTGCAAACAGTTGGAAGCACATGACCCCTGCAGCAAACCTGTCGATCAATTCGGCTTCCTGTGCACGTATAGCCTCTTCCACCTGTCGCACCTCGCTAACTGTCAAATCACGGGCCTGGTTTTGAGGCAGGTGCTCTCCTGCAGAACGGTCTGCTGCACCCACCACCCGCAGTGATAATACAGCTTCCAAGTTGTGACACCTTAGCACATGCTGGGCCAAGCGCAAGGCTTGGACCGTCCCGAGCGCTGCCAGCTTCCCTGTTGACCTGCAGGTCAGCTCCTTCAGAAGGCATACAGGATCGGCTCCGGTGGCATGAGCGGTTCGTGATTATCTACTCCCGGTCTCAGCCACTTCATGAATCTGATGAGAGATGTAGCTCGTTTCAGTGCAGTGTGGGGCGACTTTACACCGAAGACATCCCTGATAGAGGAGACCTCCTCTTCCATGCTGCAAACACTCTGGACAAACTTACCTGCCGAGGGCGATGCTAGCATGAGCGTCAGCCAGAGTTTGACAGCTCGGCCCCACACGTATTCGCACTTCTCGTCGAAGTCTCTGTCAGGCTTGCGCCTGACTGCCTGCAAGAAAATGGCCTTGTCAGGTGTGACCACTCGGCACTGGCGCTTCACCGATTGTTGCGCCGACAGCTCCCTTAGTTGGAGTTCGGCCTGACCATACATGGTGGGGGTGGGCAAGTCATCGCTTATGATCGACGGCCTGGAGAAGATCTCCTGAAAAACTCCCGACTCCCAAGGCAGTCGGATGACCGGCAACGTGGCTTGCTCAACTATGACATGCTCGCTCACCCCGTCTTGTGTAGGATGTACTGGTAAGGCCGGTGCAATCGCCTCATCGGAATCACTTTCCGACGGCACATCTAGGGCTCTCATGCTGCAAGCCAACTCAAGATACAAAATCATGCAACCCTCGTGAGCTTACACTTGCACTGAGTCGGGGGACCTGCAGCTGTCGGTGGGGGGGGAGGTGACATGCAGTTGCTGACTCCGACCCCTTGTTTCCTCACCCATCTGTCTTGCCTCGCTTCAAAACTGTCAGACAGGCCAGAGCTTATCATGGCTGGAAACACACCCCTCAGTTGTCGCCCAAAATCTGGGGCCCATCGCCTAGGCTGGCCACGTGCAGCCGATGGCACGCAGAATCGCGTGCTTGGGGTGGAGGATGATGTGCTGGCCACTGCGTGCCGAGCCCACGTCTTTGACTGCTGCCATCATTACCGCCACCCCACCTTCGGTTGTGTGGGTGGGCTTCT